GGTAGGTACAGAGTATATTGTTATACCTATGAATAATATTTCATTGTTTAATATTAAAAAAGAACAGTTAAAACAACGTGTAACATCCTTTAGGGGAACACGTCTTTAAATCATTCGAAACGTTTTCTTTTAAAAATTTAAACGTAGTTTCATTATCGAATCAAAATATTATTTTTATTTTTCTAACATCTAAAATATACATTCTGGTTATTCTAAAAAAAAAAAAAAACAAAATTTTTATAAAATAAAAAAAAAATATTTTTTTTAAATAATCAAATTTATCCTTATTAATTATTATTTGTATTCGAATGATAAAAAAACGTATTACCCCAATTATTATATAACGGTTATAGATTAACAAAAACATTTGTCATTTAAAAACTAAATGTGAAACAGTAACAAACGTAACGAAGCGAACAAGACTTATATATGACTTAATACACTACACTTCTTTAAATCTACTTTCCTTTCACTAAATTATGCGAGCAATAAAAAAAAATAAACCTAACAGGGTATAAAAATTAAAAAACAATCATGGCAACACTGGCTTACACACATCGCTTATTATGTTGGTAAAACCTTTTTTTTTTTTACCAAAGTTTTTTATCCGTTGTGCATACCCAGTCTTGGGTTAAAAGGGTAAATAGAATTATGTCCTTATTTAAGGATTATTATTATTATTCTATTTAGATCACATTATTATTTATTCAATATATAAAGTAGCGTAAGGGTAAGTATTTTTTTTAATAAAATATAAAAATGGGGAAGGTAAAATCACTAACATTTCGTGGTCAATTTGTAAGTTCGAATAATCACATACGATTTTTTGTTTCAAACTAAAGCTCGGTTTTTTTTTTATTATTAATTATTGAAAAAAAAATAACCGTGTGCGTTGTAAGTTAAATATAGTAAAAAAAAAAAAAAAAAATTGAGCTACATACGAAACAAATCTTACCTAATTCTACATTGAGACAACACCAATGGACGGTAGAAAAAAGGAGGGGAAGAGGGGTCAAGGAGCAGGAGTAGGAGAGGGGGCGGAGAATTACACAGTAGAACCGAAATGGTGCAAGTTAAAATTACTATTCGACCATTTAAAAATCACCATTTTGAACCGTTATTTTAAATAGTACACGTAAAAATAAAACAAGATAAAAGAAAATTTATTTCTTTTATCTTTTTAATAATGAACTAGCAGTACATGAAATGAAAAATCTACTACACATCTATTGCGTTATTATTGCTGAGTTTTATTTTTATATGTTTGACATAAAAATCGACGTCATTCATTCTCATGTGACAGTTCACACGTACGTCTAAAAAAAAAAATGTTGTGCAAAACACGAGTTGTACGGTTTGTGTGTTAAAAAAAAAGTTGAGCTTGAACAATTATATAAGTACATTATTATTTATTTTTACAGCTGTTCGTATTTGTTATATAATTAATTGGATCGATTCTGATTTGTCATATCTCTAAACCTAGCTGTTCAACACAATTTGACCATAAAGTATTTTTTATTTATAATTATTAAACATGGCAACAATTGAACTATTTAAAAAGTATAATTAAAACTGCCACTTAGTTCCTTTTTGCTTCGTAATGGAATAACTGTTACTTCTTAAAATTGTCTATAACATTAAATACAGTCCATTTCTAATTTCAAGCAATATACATATTGTTATATATATATATATATATATATATATATATATATATATATATATATATATAAACATTAAATTATATATATAAACATTAAACTAGCTATTAATCTAATATTTTAATATATTCGCTAAATAATTATTTTGTAGACCATAACAAACTGAATTTATAATAATTTTGACTTGAATCTATTAGAAATTTAGTTTACAATGGTCCCTAAATGAAGATTTCACTGCGATTTTAAAACTGAAATTTTAAAAACAGATTTAGAGGAATGCCGTCTCAGAATCGACACCAATATTTGGCTCAATCATTCATCATCATCATGCATTATTTTTTAAAACCATACAAACCTGTCAGTGATTGCGTCGATAATTATATCAAATACATTATAAGTAGTTTAATTTTAAAGATATTGCTAAATAACTAAAAATACAGGACCATCACGAGTTTAAATATAAGGATCGACATCAAAACACCAACTACAATAATATATTTATATAGACAGGAAGGAAAAAAAAGTAAAAAAAAAATTCGCTTAAAAGTTGTCTTGAGAACCATTTTACATGTTTCAAAAAATATCTTTTTTTTTTTGTGTACAAAAACAAGTTTCTTAAGCATGCGACAAGTATATTAAGTTTGGGACATTAAACTCTATACAACACATCGAAAGTCTAGCTCTTTCTAAAAAAATAAATAAACCACTACTACTTGATATCGAGAAATTAAAACATTGACTATAATTCACGATTTACATTTACAACACTATTCATTTACAACCTTCAATGTGTCTCATTCCATTTCCACAGATTACCTAATAATTTTTCGCGCCATAATTTTGTTTTGTTATACGTAGTCTATGGTTTGCACAGTTTATTTCCTTGGTACAATTTTTTTTACACCCCAATTCGTTCTTGCCGTTATTTTTGTGTACGAATTTTTTTATCGAATCTATTCCGCTTTTGTAAATAATTCCATGATAGCAGAAAAGTTTTTTTTTCTAATAATAACTTTTACATTTAAAAATAATAATATTTAAAGAAATATAACCTTAACACTATTTGTTCGATATTTTTTCTTCGTTTTAACTTTTTTATTACGTTTCACTCGTTGCTTTAGCTTTTAAATTAGCTTTCATTCTTGTCAGTCATACTCGAGAACAACTACTATGATTAATTACATTGTTAAATGATCTGATAGGATCAACTATTTCTCTATAATATTGTTTAAAATTAACGCCTACAACTTCCACAATACAATTTTCACACCGTAAGCCTTTCATATTGTTAAGAATTAAATGAATCTCCGACCCAGAGACATAGAGGGCACGACTAAGTTCGTTGCCAAAAATATAAATGTAAAAAAAAAATAGTTGTTGTCTCTGCACTAGATACTTTTTTAATTCATTAAACTAGTTTTATACTTAACTAGCTACTTCCCCTGGCTTTATACAGGTATACTAATGAAGAAAACGAGACCAAACATTCCCTTCACTAACGATTTTGTATTAAGATTTTTTTGACCGATCACAGCGGGGACCATTGGTCCAGTGTGCCATCCGAAGCACCAAAAACACATTGAAGGTTGCAAAACTGTTTTATCCTTAGAGGAATAATTCATTAAGTCTGAATTTGGTGTTACTCTTTACTGGGGAGACGGACTTGATATGAATACCAAAAGAAATTAATGTTTGGCACTGGATGTGTCAAAAATGGTACATTCAACATATTAATGATAATAATTTATTTATATATAATAATAAATGATTATTTAATTATATGTAAACGAATTAGCTGTTTCATTTATTTATACATATATATGAAAAAATATTTTTTTAAATTTAATTTTAAATGAACTTAAAATATTAAATAATATAATAAACAAAATGTAATATTGCGTTGAAAAATACAATTTTTAACACGTTGTGACAATATTTATGATAAAAAATAAAACGTAACCAACGACAGATTCACTATAAGGCATTTTCAAGTTTTCGAAGGATTTTTTTTTTCATGTCTCATTTATAGCCAATTCTAAGTTTTACTATTATAATGTCGAATCGAACATTATAATATATTTGGTGTTATACATTGGGACTTAAAATTATACAATATCATATCTTAATACAATGGAATGGACCAACAAAATGAATGAGAACAAACTGTAAGAATTGTACATATAAAATGACACAAAATTAGAACAACACTTAAAATTTCAATAGCCTATCTAAACGATATAATGTTAATGTTATTTTTGCACAATAAATTTTGTATATATAATATACTTTAATATATCTTGCAATTTCACCTAGCTAACACTTCAACACTCCATTTTATAATGGAGTCTCCTTGTCTGATTGTTAATATATTATATCTTAATCTAGCTTAACGTTTAATGGAGACAACGAAGCCGTCTGTCTATTCAACCTTATGTTAGATAGCATTCATCTATATGTATAGTAGAAGGAAGTATATAGCAACAGGAAAAAGGCAACGACACGTCCGTTTTGGACAACGGGATGGTAGTACATCCACACCAATGCACAAGACGGTCGGCAATTTAAATTATCATTAAGTTAGCTTACCACTACTCGGATATATATGTAATGTTTATTTTTATTCACTAATTCAAGCAATTATAGGCATAAATTAATTCATTTCACTAATGACTAGCATCATTATATGTCGACTAAAACTAAATTTGTCTATCTAATGGTTTTTTGTCATACTTTTTATTTTTTTATTCTTGTGATATAGTATATTTTTCTCGTCGAGGTTCAACCTCACAGTGTATTCTCGCGTGTTTTGAATAACAACAAAAAACAAATCAACACACTATAATCATAATTAACATCATTTCTCATCATTAATAAATATATGAACTGTCCACATTCATTATTCACAGTTCATATAATGCACTTATTATACTAATATATGTAATTGAATTTCATCTGCTCACGGCTCGATTATGATATAAAAATGTGTGTATTCATCTAAAATCATTTTAGACATTAAATTGACACATTTCAATTCAACAATTATATGTAGAATTGTCAAAAAATGTCACAATCAGTGAATCGAGCCATTTTTTTTTCTTGTCGATTACTCAAAACACGATACACTCTTTCACTTTCCCGATTGACTGAATGACAAAATTGACTGAACAATTCGTTCCTTAATAGAAATTAATTATATAATATAATAATTTTTAATATATAAATATCTTATTGTAAGTACTAACGATATGTCTCTCAAGTTTCCACTACATGCTCAAAACAATAACGCTAAATAGTGAAAAAAAAAAAAAAACTACGACAGTCAACCGATAAATATTTCAATATAATGTATAAAATACATGTTTTACAAAATATCATATAGAATTAGGGCGACGCAACATCGCCGCATCAAAATGTTTCAAAAAAGACAATGTAGTAAAACTACTTCTCATTTAATTTATATTCTTTTAGAACACTAACACACCCCTGTAGAGGGACTCACACGAAACAAAACAAAAAAATAAAAACACACGATGGAGATTTTTTATTTTAAAAACAATAAAAGAAAAAAAATAAAAAAAAAATGATAAAAGTCGTCACATAGAATCAGCCGAAAGTTTTCAGAAGAAAGACGAACGCGTCGATTTTGAGAGATAAACGAAAGAAATGTTTTTTTTATCTTATTCCCACACATTCCCATTTTATCTAGCTACAGTAAACGATTAAATGCATCTTACAATCTATGCAATAAATATTTTTTCTTTTCACTTATCGACCTATTCAATAAATAAATCTAATATTTTCACTACATTTCGGTATTTTTTATTTCTTCTCAAAGTCATTAAAGTGTATCTATTAATATTTAGACACAACCATTTTTATAACAGTAGTTAATAAGTTTATCATGATTTCGTTATTTTATGGTTCAGAATTTGGCATTGTCTCGGTTTCAGAATGAAAATAATGCACGTCCGAAGGGAGATGACTAGAAACCCCCATTTTCGACTATTCGTATTTATTTATTTTTATTTTTTTTTTCTTTTAACTATTTATCTCGTCCTTACGTCCCTAGCAATCTCAGCGGATAAAAAATGTCTTAAAAAACGTCTCACTCACTGATCGGAACCTTGCCTAATTTTTTTACTACGACCCTACTAAACATGTTTCCAAAAATCTACATTTTTTCCACTAATCTTAGACTATACTTGTGCTATCAGATGTTTTGGTACATTATGACCTCATTCGTCAGTTACCGCTTAGATTTTCCACAAAAACAAAATAAAAAAAACAATTTTCGCAACCGTATATTGGCCCGCGTGACAAATGATATTACCATCGCTTAAAACTATATCTTATATATCAATAACCTTATATTTAAATATCCATATATTTTCTAAAATTATTTGTTTATAATTAATTTTCAACGCATTTCCCATGTAGTCATAAGCAGCAGTAGAAACTAAAATATTTCGACAAGACTGACTCACATTTCGCTTTTTCGATAGTATATATGTATATCCCACCCGTATTATGACGGTAAATGTAACTTAACTATAACGTTTACTGGCTTTCAGCCGTTAATATTATTTCATAATATTTAGCACTATCCACACACGAACCATATTTGCCGCTTCATAATCTTTGGTATTAGAAAAACCACACTAAAAATAAAAATACATTTATAACGAAATAAAAAAAAAAATCTTTGGCGTAAAACTCACTCGATTGCAGGAATAAATGTAAAATTATATGTAAAAATAAATGAGAAATTATACAAATAAATGAAATGTGAATGTTCATATAATTTAAATGTAAAATTACGCACTTAAATGAACTGTGAATGTGCATAGAAACGAGTTCACACCCACTCTTTGTGGAGACAGCAGCAGGGGGGCTCGGGTGGTGGGGCGCGTTGGCCTCACACAAGTAGACTCGGGGCCAACCACTCATCTTCACCGATCTGGAATAAAAAAAAATACATACAAACTCCTGTCCGCAGCGTTGCTTGCGTGCTTCTGTATATAAAGTACCTTACGTATTAAACCGTTCACTTGTCGCAAAACTAGTTTTGATTTTAAAACTAAATGACTGAACCGATTTTGATAAAATTTTTATTGGACTAATCTGTAAGTATAATATATCCTTTCAGATAAAAAAAGAATCCTCCAAATCGGTTTAAAACTGACGGTAGCTTCGGCAGTAAACAAACATGAAAAAATACAAGCCAAGTGAGAACTTCCTTTTCGAAGTCGGTCAAAAATGGAGGGAGTCATTGAGTGTCAACTTACGGGCTGGACTTGGAAGTGTTGTACGGGGTAGTGCAGCACCTGCGGCGGCTGGGACATGGCGGCGACCCCCCCCACCGAGCCGACGCCCCCCACGCCCCCGCCCAGGGCCCACGGGAGCTGCACTCCCCCCATCCTGCAAATGATAATTCAATTATGCATTTTTCAGTTTAAATATCTATTATATTAGTAATAAAGTATAACTTTTTTTTAATGGGCGAGAATGGAATGGTAACCCCGCCTGCGCTAACGGTATACGCTGGCGGATCACCAGTGAAGGATGATAGGTGAGAATGAAAGCAGATCAGTTGGCTCTTCGTGACGAAATTAACAATTAACCACGTAGGTTTCCAAAGGGGAACCGCGTGGAGGTCGACCTGACACACCATTATTAACAAATCAAAGCGTGTGTGCGTGTGTGTTTTTTTTTTAATATATGATAATGGAATGGTAGCCCCGCCTGCACTAACAGTATACGCTAGCGGGGCACCAGTGAAGGATGATAAGTGAGAATGAAAAGGCAGATCAGTTAGCCCATCGAGATGAATACATTTGGAATTCAACACGATGGTTTCCACGGAGGACCGCGTGGAGGTCGACCTGACAACATATATTGTATTGCTAGTAACGTGACTGGTAGTCGACAATGCTAACAATCCTTTTCCCCCTGTGTGCGTGTGTTAACGTTAAATAGAGAGAGTGAATGACTGCATTGGTCTAGCAAAACAAATTTGTAAATGAAATAAATGTTTTTTTTGGAGGGAAAGGAATTGTTAGCAATGGAGTTTGACAGCTCCATTGCTAGCAATAGCCTATTAGGTCGACCTCCACGTGGAATATAGAAGTTACAAAGGAATCACTCGTAACTATTTATCACGCAAAATTGTATGAAAAACTTGACACGTTTCTCTCGAAGCATTTCCATGGAGTCATTCTTATCTATAAGATTTAACATTAAAACCATACCCCATGTACTGTTGCTGGTATCCCGCGAACTGTCCAGCGTAGGAGTACCCTTGTACCCCTTGGACGCCTTGCAGGAATCCCCCCAGCTGTTGGGGGTACGTGTTGTACCAGTACGACGTGGGGGGTACCCCACCGGCCGTGTACGCCGCTCCGAAGGGGCTGTAAGCTGTACCCCCGAGCTGAAAAATTAAAAAAAAAATGTTAATTAGGTGTTAAAAAAAAGTGATTTCACTTTGGCAATGTTCTCTGCGTGCAGTCCCGGCATAGAACGGGCCCAGCAGTAAACGAAGCATGGTATCTATTGGTAGAACCCCCCCCCCCCCCCCCCCATAGGGGGATACCCATGTTCAGCAGTGGACAGATAACATAATGATGATGATGGTAATTCCTGAAGGTTTAACTCAAAAACCTGGTCTGATAATTGTATAAATGTTTTATTTTGATACGCCATTTAGAGGCAGTCTGTTTCAATGGTTTTCCTATTTTATGGAATCCGTACAAAGTAGTGTGCACACCGATCGTCTGGGGTCGTCAAGATACCTTGTTTAATGAGGTTTTTTTTTTGATGGGTGAAAATGGTATGGTAGCCCCGCCTGCGCTAACGGGATACGCTGGTGGAGCACCAGTGAAGGGTGATAGAATGAGAGAATGAAAACAGGCCAGTTAGCCCATCATGATGAATTCATCAGGAATTAACCATGATAGTTTCCCAGGGGGAACCGCAAGGTCGACCTGGTTGGGTATATTGCTAGCAATGGGATTCTCAGTCTCCATTACTAACAATCTTTCCCCCCCCCCTCGTTTAATGAGGTAATAATCTATAGCATCTCTATTCTATTTAAGAGCTGTGCTCTTGTTGGTGGAGCTCTTGCCACTCACTACGATTTTCAGCGAGTCCCTTCACCCCTTGATACGACACGACACCAACTCCTTCCTTGATCTGCCTGATGTAACTATGTCTCGGTCTCCCTCTTCCCCTCCTTCCTTCTATCTTACCTTCTATTATAATGTTCGTAAGTTCGTCGTGTCGTATCAAGTGTCCAAACATTTTTTCCCTTCTGTCCTCAACAGTTCTTATAATTTGTCTCTTTTCCATTACCCTAAGCTCTTAAATCTATAGCATGAGGTGATAAAATGAATCCAATTCATTGCAAAAATAATTAAGATAAAAATAAATAAACTATTCTAAAAAACAAAATTGTTCTGAAATTGGGAAGATAAAAAAAACCTTTAAAAAAGTTCTTCGAATAGAGAAACCTCCATTTTAACAGTGGCGTACTAAGGGGAGGGCGGAAGGGGCAGTCCATCCCAGCTTGTAGTTCTGGGAGCCTCAAAATGCTTCCATTTTTCTTATCCATATTCTATATATGTTTATTTAAATATAATTATAATAAATAATATTTTTTACTGAAATAAACTTAATAAGTCCTTAGTTCCTTACTTAATGACAGTGGATTTTTTTTAAATGGATGATAATGGAATGGTAACCCCACCCGCGCTATCGGTATACACCGGCGGGGTACTAATGAAGAATGATAGGTGAGGATGAAGCAGGTCAGTTAGCTCATCGCGACGAATTCAACAAGAATTGTTCACGATGGTTTCCAGGGGGAACCACGTGGAGGTCGACCTAATAAGGTATATTGCTAGCAATGGGGCTGTCAAACTCCATTGCTAACAATCCTTTTCCCCCCAATGACAGTGGATTAGGGTTGGCTACGTTAAGAAATTTCCTCCTTTTTTTTATCCATATTATTTTATGTATGTTTATTTAAATCTAATTTAAATTTCACTTCCAGGATTTTATTTTAATAAATATTAACACTCATATATGAAATCGCAGTGTGGTCTCGGTACAGAATAGGGGTGACCTATTCCTTTCCCGTGGGTGTCGTTAGAAACAACTAAGGGGATTTAATGATCGAGGAATGGGTCCCTCTTAAAACTAAAGCGTAACTGCGGTTGCCAATCCGCCTGTCCAGCGTAGCAATTACTGGTAAAAATACTCTTATGATTTTTTTGGGTGATAATGGAATAGTAACCCCACATGCGCTAACGGTATATACAGGCGGGGCACCAGTGAAGGATGATAGGTGAGGATAAAGCAGGTCACTTAGCCCATCGTGATGAATTCAACAGTAATTGTTCACGATTGTTTTCAGGGGAAATCACGTGGAGGTCGACCTAATAGGCTGCTAGCAAAGGGGCTGTCAAACTCCATTGCTCCCAATCCCCCCCTCCGTCAATTTTATGGGGTTAACATATGTTCGGCAGTGGATTGTTAACGTCTGATATCACGATGATGCTGATACAAATATAAACTGAATTAAAAGCTTGTAAAATTATATCAACTTTTTAAACTGAGGGTCTCATTGAACTTTGCCGTCCCGGCCCTCTAACGGCCTTAGTCCGTCTCTGGATCGCAAGAATAAATAATTGGATAATAAAGCTTGATTCGTGCATCAATCCCATCAAACTACATTCACGAATAACAATTTGCTTAACTACCTGATAACTTGTTAGTGAGTTTATAATAGCACAGTTTAGAGATATCGATTTATTAATTATGCAGTAAATTGAGTTGACACAGGAGGGCACAGGGCCGTATTATCCATTAGGTGGTCTGGACTGTGTGGGGGCTATCAGTTTTTTTTTTAATACAGGGTATCTTTTTTAATGGATGACAATGGAATGGTTACCCTGCCTGTGCTAACGGTATACGTTGGCGGGGCACCAGTGAGAAATGATAAGTGAGGAGGAAAGCAGCCTATCGTGGCGAAAACCACTAGAATTAACCATGATGGTTTCCAGGGGGAACCGCGAGGAGGTCGAACTGGTTGGGTATATTGCTAGCAATGGGATTCTCAGTCTTCATTACTAACAATCATATTCCCCCCGCAATGGGACTATTAGACCTCATTACTAACAAGCCCTTTCTCCCTATAGACGACGGTTACTACTCTCCATCAGGTAAGCAGCCATCTTGTTTACCATTCTAAGTTGAATATAAAAGGAAATTAGACAAAAATGCCGGTCAAGCGATATGTATGACCTTAGATCATACTGGAATCAATTGTTTTGGCCCTCACCTGTCCTTGGGCTTGTGCGTTGTTAGGATCCCCGGATTCTTTGCCCCACGAGCACTTCACCGGTTGCCCGTTGACGTCCGTATTGTGTACCGCCACAATTGCGTGGGTGGCGCTCTCTTTCGTCGAGAATCTGGAATTAATGACGTTCACATTAATATTAATCACTTAAGACTGTATCCCATATTTTTTATTTTAATTTAGACAGTGATTGAACCGAATTTAATTTAATTGCTTTCTATTTGTATATTATTTGTTTGTTTTGTTTTTGTTTCTTTTGTTCTTGTTTTGTGTGCTACTGTATGGATCGCTTGCTTCTTTGATTAAATTCTGTCTTTCATAAATAAATAAAAAAACTTCATTTGCGGCAAAACCAGTTATTTCGATTTATAAACTAAACTTCTGTACCGATTTTGATAAAATTTCTATGCCTAACCAATCTGTAAGTATGTCGTTTCAGATTGAAAAAAGAATTTTTCAAATGGGGTATAGTTGACGGAGTTTTGAGATGTGGTCCCGGTGTAGAATGGGCTACCCCTTCCTTTCCCGTGGGTGTCGTAAGAGGCGATTAGGGGAATTTAATAGTAGGAGGTATGGGCAGTAATGCCCTTCTTTAATTTTTAATTATCACCAAAGCCTAACTGTGGTTGCTAACCCGCCTGCCCAGCGTGGCAACTACTGGCAAAACCTAAGATAAAGGCCTATGTACAGCAGTGGACAGTTAACAGTTTATGTAACTGTGTCTGTGATCTTGTCTGGAAGAGATCGCTCTTAGCGATAAGGTCGCCCATTGTTTTCTCACTGTGATCATTTCTTGTAATTGTTTGTATCTATTATAAGTTTACTATTGTAATCTTTTGGAGGAAACAATAAAGAGTATCTACCTAGATATATCGCTATCTTTATAATAAGAAGTATATTTTTTTTTTTATTTTAAGTAAATTTGACTTCGCGTGCTCTTCAAGCTAGGGCACCGTGTGTTATAAGAATCCAGGTGTTTCATATTTGAGGGCATAATCCAAAACATCTAGTCTCGAGTCAGTAGAGTCAAGTTCTCATTCAATCAACTTAATCAGACCTCATTTATGCAAAGCAAAGTACAATATTATGAGAGAGCTGGCGACGGATATCTGGGCTCAACTCAGAACACCCAATCTCGAGCCAATTCAGTCAAGTTTGTTTCCTAAACTTTCCCGATCGTGAATCGAACTTGTACATTGCAAAGTAACGTTCCCACTGCTGCACCAAGGAAGTCATCACGGACGCTTTAGAATAGAATGTGTATTACCAACTTACCTGATAAAGGCGTATCCCTTGTCTTTGAAAACCCTGATCTCCTGTATGGTGCCGAAGGGTTGGAATGTCTTCTGCATCAGCTCCTCGGTGAGGCCAGTGGTCAGACCTCCGCAGTAGACCGTGCAGTTGGTCGGCGAACTCTGGTTGTAGACCTCGTCGAAGGTCAAAGGTTTGGAGTTTACTGGAATAGATATATAATTAAGTAAATACCATCCGAATTATTAAACAGGGCCATCTAGTTATAAACTAAGGAAAACTATTACTGAGCTAAGGAGGGAAATGTTTCATATATATTATGTAGGTACCAGAGGGAGACTTTGTACAAAAGTCGTTTGCTTGGACACCTCTATCCCATTCGTATTTCTACCGTGAAGCAGTTGTGTTTGCATGGCTGTGTTTCGGTTTGAAGGGTGGGATATGGCGTGAATTTACAGGGTACAGAGGAATAACACCTGAGTACTCAGGAATGGCAACGCATGGGGGGTATCATGGGCGAAACAATATACTCTGTTATGTCCATGGTACTCCTCATGTCTATAGGCGACGGTTACCACTTTCCATGAGGTGGGCCGTCAGCTTGTTTGCCATTCTAAGTTGCATATATTTTACATTACAAATACAGTTTCACCAACACAATTCAAATTTTCAGTGACGTCTTAATTAAGAATATTATTGCTTAATTACCATTCTAATTCATTGTTAAATCCACTTTTTAAATAATCACTCGGAAATATTGGAAAATGTTCAATATTTTTTGGTAAATCACAGCTAACTGCTGCGTTGCCATAGCTCGCTATGAATATCGCTTTTAAAAGCGTTTTTTACGACGTTTCATTTTTTAATCTCTCTCTAGACCTAGCCCCCGTTTCGTATTAGAGTGTTACGCTAAGCTATCGTTCCTTTAGACGTACCAATACCATATAGAGGGGATGGTACACTGTATAAGCGGTAGCGATTTAATAAAACCGCTATTTTATCACTATATTACCTCTTATGTCATATTCTTTACTAAGGGACTTGGCAGAGAGAATTGAGTGCAAAAGGATTTTATTAGAGAGAGGGGGTGGGAAGAAATTGTTAGCGATGGGGACAAGTCATGTTGCGGGGGGAAAGGGATTGTTAGTAATAAGGTCTAATAGCCTCGTTGCTAGCAATACACTCTTTCAGCTCGACCTCCAGGCGGTTTCCCCTGAAAATCACCATGGTTATTTCTTGTCGAATTGATCATGGTGGGCCGACTGACCTGCATTCACTCTCACCTATCATTTTGACCATTAAAAGGGGTTTGAATCTAGATAGTGACTTTTGTAACAGTTTTATCGTTATTTTATTTATATTTATTTTTCAACCTTGTCGTACAATACAGTTCAATTATTCATATTTTAATAAATATTAGTATACGTAACCGTGGAGCGGTTTTAAAATAAAGAGAAGTCAAAGTCGCCACCGCTTATGCACCGTATCAGCTGGCGAATACAGCATTATCGCTAGCACTCCCGCGAGAGTACCTACCGATTCAATTTGCTAGCATAATGCCACTTTTTATATATCTATGTATATACATATATATATATATATAAATGTACGGACGGAATTGGGTGCCTTTTGTTGGTAAGTATATAAGAGTACCTACTATGTATATTTTAGTAAGGTTTTTTTTAATTCAATTTGTACCTGCATTTTTAGATAAAAGCACTCTCTGATAATAACTTCGACTTATTTACCGAATTTATTTTATCTATCTGAAACTATCTTTTTCCACGCTACTTCGAACCCGTGGATGGAAGTAGGGAAACTAATAAAAAAGGGGGGAAGGGATTGTTAGTAATGCGGACTACCAGTCCCATTGCTAGCAATATGTGTCAGGTCGGCCTCTATGTGGTCCCCCTGGAAACCGTCGTGCTGAATTCACGATGGGCTAACTGACTTGTCTTGGGGGGAAAAGGGATTGTTAGCAATGGAGTTTGACAGCCCCATTGCTAGCAATATGCCCTATCAGGTCAACCTCTACGTGGTTCCCCCTGGAAACTATCATGGTTAATTCCTGATGAATTCATCATGATGGGCTAACTGGCCTGTTTTCATTCTCATCTATCACCCTTCACTGGTGCTCCGCCAGCGTATCCTGTTAGCGCAGGCGGGGTTACCGTACCATTTTCACCTATCAAAAATACCAGTACAGTTGGCGGGAAAGGGATTATTAGTAATGGGGTCAAATAGCCCCATTACTAACAATATACCCTGTCAGGTCGACCTCCACGTGGTGCTCCCTGGAAACTGTCTTGGTTAATTCTGAATGAATTCATCAGGATGGGCTAACTGAGCTGCATATCATCCACATCTGCCATCTCTCACTGGTGCCCCGCCATTGTATACCGATAGCGCAGACGGGGTTACCATACCATTATCACCCATTAAAAACAAAAACAGTACAGTTTGGTTACATTTTCCCCCACGTACTAATTGAATGAATGAATGGCAACGCATGGGGGGTATCATGGGCGAAACAGTATACTCTGTTATGTCCACGGTACTACTCATGTCTATAGGCGACGGTTACCAGTTTACATCAGGTGGGCCGTCAGCTTGTTTGCCTGTCTAAGTTGTATATAAAAAAATTATATATATATATAAATATTGCATTAATATCGATCCGTTATAACTGAATAGTTATTTGTTATGGAAATATATGAGAAGTATCCGGCCGCTAACCAATTCCCAGGCAATAACTGTCGCTAGAGAAATATGACTGGCCAACGGAAATTTCTATAACGCTATTTTATGATCATAAGCTGTACTTATATAGGCAGATAGATAAATCAGATTTATAGAAGGAATTTTTACTAACGGGGTCTAGTGTCACCATAGCAATGTATATTAACAGGTCGACCTCCACGCCGTCCCCACTGGAAATCATCTTAGTTATTTCTTGTAAATATATATATATATATATATATATATATATATATATATATATATATATATATATATATATATATATATATATATATATATATATATAATAACACCTGAGACCTCAGAAATGGCAACGCATGGGTGGTATCATGGACAATAAAAAAAACATAAAAAATCACCCTTTCAAATAGTCGTCAACGAAAGTCGTTCTAATACATAGGTACAGTCGTTTCGTGTTACAGATTTTTTTTTTATACAACTTCGAATGGCAAATAAGCTGACGATGCACCTGATGGAAAGTGGTAACCGTCGCCTATAGACATGAGCAGTACCATGGACATAATAGAGTATACTGTTTCGCCCATGATACCCCCCGTGCATTACCATTCCTGAGGACTCAGAAGTTACTCCTCTGTACCCAGTAAATTCACGCCATATCCCACCCTTCAAACCGAAACACAGCCATACAAACACAGCTGCTTCACGGTTGAAACACGAACGGGACAGAGGTACACAAAGCAATCGACTTTTGTACAAAGTCTCGCTCTGATGTTTTGAAACTCTTGTGCTTATTATAAACTTATTAGCTTATCATTTAGCGTATTAATATTTAATTTTCAATCTGTACCTTGCTTAAGTAGAAAGGTGAAAATTCACTACCATTCGGAATTCATAAAGACAAGCAAGATTAAAAGGAATCTTTAATTTTACAGCGAAGTGTACACCAGCCGCTGTTCTCGCTCGAACACTCCGTCTCTAAAGTACCTAATTCTAATGAATTAATCACGTAACATAGTAATTTTGCGGGAATTACGAATTATTTTATTTATTGCTACTAAAATTGGCGAACTAGTTGACCGCCAACAAATCCTGTAATGTTGGTGCAGGGGGGAAGGGATTGTTAGTAATCGGGAGGTAGGTCCATATTGCTATCAATATACTCTATCAGGTCGACCTCTACGCGCGCTCCCCCTGGAAACCATCGTGACTAATTTATCGTTAAATTCGTCACGATGGGCTAACTGACCTGCCTTTTCATCCTCACATATCACCCCTCAGTGTTGCCCCGCCAGTGTATACCGATAGCGCAGGCGGGGTTGCCATTCCATTATCATCCATTAAAAAAAAATGCTGGTGCAATAAGTGTTAAATAAAATAAATAAAAACTACATAAGAATGGACAGTAATTCTTTGCTAAAACAAGAAAAAGGTCGCTTGTGGTAGAGGAAAATGAAATAAAAAAATTACATTGTCAAATATAGAAAAGAAAAAAACAAAAGTTAAGATGCAGTCTGCACAGTTGGACCATCGTGAGGAACTCGACAAGAATAACTCATTATGGTTTCTAGAGGGAACCGCGTGGAGGTTAACCTAACAAGGTAAATTTTTTTAATGGGTGTAAATGGTATGGTAACCCCATCTGCTCTATCGGTATACACTGGCGAGGTACTAGCGAGGGATGATAGACGAGGATGAAAAGGCAGGTCAATTAAGCCCATCGTGACGAATTCAACGATAAATTAGTCACGTAAGTTTTTAGGGGAAACCTCGTGGAGGTCGACATGATAGGGACATTAATAGCAATGGGGACTAACCTCCCCATTTCTAACAATCCCTTCCCCCCCGACAAGGTACGTTGCTAGCAATGTCCTAGACTATTGCTAGCAAATACTAAAACCCATTAATATTAATTTTTTCTCATTGTATGAATGTGAGTGAGTAAAACTTCAGGACGCAAGAGATATATGCAAGCATAGAGGCTTCAGGCTCTCGTTTCTTTCTGTCTACCCCGCAAGGGACGTGGCGTGAAGGTAAAAAGATCGTATTAACGACTTACGTTCGTTTTTCGGTGCTGGCGGTTTCCTCGTCGCCCAGTTTGTGCGGATCGATCTGGAGCCCAGCCATTGGCCATTCATCGATGTGATGGCTGATTCCGCTTCCTGTTGGCACAGTATACGATTAACAAATGTACAGTGTGTCTACGACAAGATGGCACGCCCCTCCAAAGAAAAGATTTTTATTTTTATCTAACTATAAAGAGAGTTTCGTTAGATAAAGTTTTATTTTATACAACTTAGAATGGCAAACAAGCTGACGGCCCACCTGATGGTAAGTGGTAACCGTCGCCTATAGACATGAGAAGTACCATGGCCATAACAGGCTATACTGTTTCGCCCATGATGTCTCCCATGCGTTGTCATTCCTGAGGACTCCGGTATTATTCCTCTGTACCCTGTAAATTCACTGCCATATCCCACCCTTGAAACCGAAACACAGCCATGCAAACACAACTGCTTCACGGTAGAAACACGAATGGGACAGAGGTACTCAAGCAATCGACTTTTGTACAAAGTCTCCCTCTGGTAAGTTACAATTGTACATTTACAACTGACTTCAAAAAGTAAGAGATTTTTAATTCGTTTGGTTTTTTTTAATGTTTATTACCTAACAACTTCGTCAGTTGTAAACCGATTTGGAAAAATCTTTTTTTTTATCAAAAACATACACTAACAGATTGGTCCTGTAGAAATTCTATCAAAATCGGTTCAGTAATTCAGTTTTGAATTCAGAGCAACAGATTTTGCTACAGTTGAAGTCGATTTTTTTTCTATGGAATAGAAATAGAATAGAATAGAAATTTATTTTTTGACAAAAAAACACAATGTTACAAACACAAGACACAATGGGCCGCACACTAGGCGAGCCTGTACCGTGGGTATCCGACAAAGATTAACAAATCATAATGTGTTATAACATAATTACAATATTGGAGACATAAGTCTTAAATAGCTTTTTTTTATGTTGAAATGTTTTAATCCAAGTTAGTTAGCGAATAAAATTTATTATGACTTTCAAAATAAAGAATTATTAAAAAAAAAAAATGTTTGGAGTTAATCTTAAATTGTTTAAAGGAAGGAAAGGTTGGATTTTCTATTGAATTAATTAATATTTTAAGATATATATATATATATATATATATATATATATATATATATATATATATATATATATATATATATATATATAATATATACTCGACTTAAACAATATATTCGACAAGTAGTTTAACAACTTGTTAGCAAGGGAGGACTTATCCCTGAAAGAGATCTCTTCCAGCCAGCCCAGTGTTGTTAGAAAGAAAATGATTTAATTTGAGTAATCCAGTGCAGAAAAGGTACCAGTGAAAATAATGTAAATACATATATATATATATATATATAATTATAATATGGTTAATTAATTCCGTTTTATATATATAAAACGTAAGAGTTGGTTTGTTTGAGCACACTAATCTCAGGAACTATCAGTCGAATTTGAAATTTTTTCCAATTTCTTTTGCCTAATACAATACACTTCTTATATTATAATATTACTGTATTTTCTATTGTAATTATGGGTTTTTCTGGCAATAAATATTATCTATTCTATTCTTTTTCATAGTATTTCTTTCAACGATAACTGACAACATAACTGTTTCGAATATTGATGAGGTGCAGGTTCGAATTCCGTTAGATTAAGTCTCCCGAATTTATTTACTTAAAACTGTAAATTTATATACATTTTAAGTAAATTGAACATTGCAAATGAGTGTATTTATGTTCTTAGATTGTACCGTCTTATGTTAAGTCAAAGGAAGTTTTTAATTAACCACTGAGATACAGGCTCAGCCTAGTTCGGTGGCTAGTAGATGTAACTAGGTGTGAATTGTTATTAAATAAAGAATTATTATTATTATTTCAAATGAAAATTGTTAGCAAATGAAATATATAATCTATAGCAGATTATATTTATTTTAACACAGAGGCAAAACGAGCATGCGGCTCACCTGATGGTAAGTGACTACTGCCACCCATAGACACCCACAATACCAGAGATATTGCAGGTGTGCTGCACACTTCAAGAAGAGAGTATATTCCCTTTTAAAAGGCCGGCAGCACACCTGCAATGCCTTTAGTGTTGTGAGTGATCATGGGCGGCGGTAGTCACTTACCATCAGGTGAGCCGTATGCTTGTGTGCCCTCTGTGTTGTAAAAAAAAGGTAAAAGGCCTTTTTTTTACAACACAGGGGGATAATGCTCTTTTCTTGAAGGTTTAAATGTCGTATCTGGAAATACTGCTGTTGGGGGTTGGTTCAATGCTTTGGTCAGCGTGGAGGAGTGTCTACAGTTACGCCCCTCGTCCAGTTGGTCGGGATGGTACTTTACCTTGAGGCGGGTTGTACATTGATAGAATAAACATTATAATAAAGTGCCACTTACGGATTTTTTTAAGAAGGAAACGAATCCATATCCTTTGGATTTCAACGTCTGCGGATCCCTTACCACGCGGCAATCTCTGCGGACAAAACAAATACATGTATTAGCAGATATAAACATGTCATTTATTTATTTATTTATTCATTAGTACAAATATGTGTACATGGCGGACTTAATGCTAAAAGCATTCTCTCCCAGTCAACAATAGGGAAGTGTCAGAATACTCGAATGCGGTACTAGTAATTATTGATATACATACATACTAAAATTACATATATAAACGAATAAATATATATAAATAACAAATATACTTACACATGTAAACTAGCTACGGTAACCACTTACCATCAGGTGGGCCGTATGCTTGTTTGGCACCTCAGTGGTATAAAAAAAAATTGCATGAGATTTTTAAGCAACTATTTATAATACGGAAGATCTATTCACCCCGTATATGTTTAGCTGTCAATATAATGTAGTCATACAACATAAAAACTCCCCATAGCGTCCAAAATTAGTTTTAGTCCAACATAGATTTAAGTTGTGATTGAATTTATCAGTTCATCTATTGTATATATTTGAATTTGTGGGACATGGCGTGAATTTACTGGGTACAGAGGAATAACACCCGAGTCCTCAGGAATGGCAACGCATGGGGGGTATCATGGGCGAAACAGTATACTCTGTTATGTCCATTGTACTGCTCATGTCTATAGGCGACGGTTACCACTTTCCATCAGGTGGGCCGTCAGCTTGTTTGCCATTCTAAGTTGTATAAAAAAAAAATGAGACTTCAAAAAGAAGTAGGTTCTCGATTCGGTTATATTTTTTTATGTTTTGTTTCCTCTATAACTACAGTAATTCTAAATCGATTTGGGAAATTACTATTGTTTTTATCTGAAAGGATATATTTACTGATTAGTCGTATAAATCCAAAGGTTGCCTGCAAGAGATCGCTCTTAGCGATAAGGCCGCCCATTGTTTTCTCAGTGTAATATTTGCTTGTAATTGTTTTATATTTATAATAAATTTACTATTGTAACCTTATAGAGGAAATAATAAAGAGTATCTATCTATCTATTTACAAATCTGTCAATAACAGAATATTCAGGTGCAATAAAAAAAAAATATTAAAATCACATCAAAAAACCTTGGTTCGTTTGATACCAAAATTAAAATGTCAGTTATGGGACATTTTAATATAGCTTTTAATTAACTCCGCCATCAACTCTCTACCCTTAACCCGATTATTATTTGCGGTCGGCGTAATACGTTTTTCTCTTCTATTCTCCTCTGTTCGCAGTCGTTACCGCGTCCACTCCCATTCTGGCCGTTTTATCTTTCACACAGTCCGTCCATGGCTTTTTAGGTCTTCATCTGACCTTATAGCTATCCACATTCTTAATACCCTTCTTAAAACATGCTCCTTACCCCTGCTCATCACGTGCCCATACCAGGATAGACGGTTACTCCTTAACTTTCTTATCACTGATGTTACTTTTTTTGTGTAAATGAAATAGTGACCCTACGCTATCGGTATACACTGGCGGGGCACCAGTGATAGACGACAGGTGAGGATGAAAGCAGGTCAGTTAGCCCACCGTGACGAGTCCACAAGAATCAACCACGATGGTTTTCAAGGGGGAACAGCGTGGAGATCGACCTGACAGGGTATATTGCTAGCTATCGGGCTGTTAGACCCCATTACTAACACACCCTTCCCCCCTCACTGGCGTTACTTTCATATTTCCTTTTATATCATCATATAAGCCGTTAACTGTCCACTGTTGAACAAAGATCTCCCCCATAAAAGGGGGGGGGGGGGGGCTGTTGATGCGAATTCATTCATGCAAATATTAAGATAGACGTGTGGTGTGATAAGAACAGTCAAACTTAAGCATGAGCACATTAGGGAAGGATATAACCCATGTGGTCCTATTATTTACTTTCTCGTCGATGTCGTAAGAGATCATTAAAGGACCTTAATAGTCGAGGGATGGGCAGCAGCGTTCCTCTTAAAACATCACCAATCCCCAACTGCGGTTACCAACCTGCCTGCCAAGCGTGGCAACCAAAAACGCCTCTTATAGGGGAGGTCTATGTTCAGCAATGAACTGTCACCAATAATGCAGGCAAGGTCATCATTGCATTTAGATCCAATAAAAAAAAATTAACACCAAGTTTAACACACGCTATTTCATCCTTATACACGCGAACAAAACCACGAGTCGCAACTAGTTGAATATAATTAAAATAATTACATACTCGTACGTGACGCTGTTACAGAAGAAACATATTTCAAAGTTAATTTTGTTGCAGGATGATACTAGATGGCGTTGTAAAGTTTATGTCGTTGAAAAATTAATGGCGTATAAAGATTAAGTTATTCCAAGGCATTCCATATGGGTTTAAGTTAATCGCTTTATATAAACATTTGCCTCGTGACTTTGCCCATTATATTTCGGATAAACTCACACGATTGGTCGTTATGAGGCCGGAGAAGAAGCGAAGTGTCTCTTTGGAGATATATTCAAATCCTTACTAATGTTAGAAGTATGAAAGTGAGTTTGTTTGTTTGTTGCATTATAGCGTTTCAACGGCTGTGTCAATGTTGATTAAATATAGTATATACGTACTATGTGGGATGTAGAAGGATGCAGGCTACTTTTTATACCATTCATGATGTAAACATATCCTGGCCACGAATGTAGTTGCGAGTAAAAGCTACTATTATGTCCACAGACTTTAGTCTGACAGATATAAACAAGTATAATGTATATCATTGTATTATGTATTACCAGAGGGAGACTTTGTACAAAAGTCGATTGCTTGGGTACCTCTGTCCCATTCGTGTTTCAACCGTGAAGCAGTTGTGTTTGCATGGCTGTGTTTCGGTTTGAAGGCTGGAATATGGCAGTGAATTTACAGGGTAGAGAGGAATAACAGCTGAGTCCTCAGGAATGGCAACGCATGGGCGGTATCATAGGTGAAACAGTATGCTCTGTTATGTCCATGGTACTGCTCATGTGTATAGGCGACGGTTACCACTTTCCATCAGGTGGGCCGTCAGCTTGTTTGCCATTCTAAGTTGTATAAAAAATATTGCATATATTCTTCTATACTAATATTGTAAAGAGGAAAGATTTAATTTTTTTTGTATGTTTATTTGTAAGGGATAAACTCAGAAACTAATCATTCGATTTTAATAATTATTTTACCTATATCCTTCACCTACCCTTATTATTGAATGCTACGTTATTAGCAAGTAACATTATTTATTCATATTTTTTTTTAAATTGAAATATTTATGAAAATTATAATTAAATTACCAAAAGTATCAAAAATTTGCCCATTCGAGCCAATCATCATCATCGTCTAATGAAAGCTAATATAAAATTGTAATTTGTATTTACGTCTATCTATCTACTTATGCGAAGCCGGGATGGATACCTAGTACTTATAGACCATAATATAGATAGAGTGTCTCCATACAAATGTTTCGTAAAAAATAGGTCAACGTTTCAACCGACTTCAAAACGAAGGAGGTTGTCAATTTTTTTTGTTTTTTTTTTATGTTTATTACCTCATAACTCCTTTAGTTCTAAACCGATTTAGCAAATTATTTTCTTATCTGACGAGATATAATTACAGATTGATCCAATAGGAATTTTATAAAAATCGGTTCAGGAGTTTAGTTTATAAATCAAAGTAACTATTATAGTTTTAGCAACATTTAAATAGATTTATTTTTGTGAAACACTATCTTTAATTATTTATCCATGTTTACGTGCATTGAAATTAAAATTATGACACATAGGTACGTGAATTTTTGTAATTTTTGCAACTTTTGTTTCTTATAAATTCAGACTTGTCACATTTTTACATTCACAAAACACGCACACGAGCGTGCCTTTTTCGTATTTGTCTCGTATTCGTGAGTAGTCGAATTTCGCGGCTACGGCCGTGTGAATCAATAGGTACATAAAGTATCCTACATGCTAAGTTAGGATAATAGGTCAGTACATAAAATATCCTGTATGCTAAGTTATATTAATAGATCAGTACATAACGTATCCAATATGCTAATTTAGGATAACAGATCAATACATAATGTATTCTATATGCTGAGTTAGAATAACATATCAATACATAACGCATCCTATATCCTAAGTTAGGATAACAGGTCGGTACGTAACGTATACTATATGCTAAGTTAGAATAACATATCAATACATAACGCATCCTATATCCTAAGTTAGGATAACAGATCAGTACATGAAGTATCCTATATACTAACATAACCCAATTTCATTCAAAATTCATTATTGTGTTTGAATAACAAACATCTATCCTTAAAAAGCTTTCGCATTTATAAAGTTAATATGATTACATTTCCCGTCTGTCCGTACGCGAGTAAGTTATACCTCGTGGTATAACTTACTCGCGTACATTTACAGGGTACAGAGAAATAACACCTGAGTCCTCAGGAATGGCAACGCACGGGGGTATCATGGGCGAAACAGTATACTCTGTTATGTCCATGGCACTGCTCATGTCTATAGGCGACGGTTACCACTTTCCATCAGGTGGGCCGTCAGCTTGTTTGCCATTCTAAGTTGTATAAAAAAAAATTGAATTTTACTTAGGTTAAACTAGATACGTTTTACTATCAATTCTTGTACAAAATATTTCTGATTGTTCTACAATATTGCGTGTAAAGAAATGAATGTTTAACGCGTAATTACGTGGAAATTGTGCATTTTCTTTTTTCTATATTGTTTTGTATCCAGGTACAGCACGTTTAATTTTAACTAACTACATTTACTTTAAACTAACTATAGTTTACAACGTAAAGATAATTGGAACATGTTTTGTTCATACTTTCGCCAAATCAGCTTCGAGCTTATATTGCTTGCATAGAGTTTTAGCACACCTGCAATGCCGTAGGTGTTGTGGGTGACCATGGGTGGCGGTAGTCACTTACCATCAGGTGAGCCGCATGCGCGTTTGCCATCTGTGTTGTAAAAAAAAAGAGTCTCCTGCTTATCTAACATATATACCATTTAATATCTGATATATAAT